GTATTTCCCACTAACAACCACAGCAATATTTCCAATCCCATAAGCTCTCGCAGAACCTTGCTACCTTCCATTAAGAGGTGGAATCCATTTCCCTCCCCACTTGAACCCATGCAGCACTTTGAGAGTGTTTAAAAAATAGAATAGAATACGCTGGGCATGTTTGGCTAAAGCCTGTCATCCCAGAGCTTTAGGAGGCTAGGGCAGGAGGATTGTTTGAGACCAGGATTTCAAGACCAGCCTGGGCAATCATAATGAGACCCCCATCTCTACAAATAAATAAATAAGTAAAAATTGGCCAGACTGGCCAGGCATGATGGCTTGCACTTGTAATCCCAGCACTTTGGGAGGCCAAAGTGGGAGGATTGTTTGAGCTCATGAATTTGAGACCAGTCTGTGCAACATGGCAACTCTATCTCTGCAAGAAAATACGAAAATTAGCCAGTTGTGGTGGCATGAACCTGTAGTCCCAGCTACTTGGGAGGATGAGGTGGGAGATGGCTTGAGGCGGAGACTGCAGTGAGCCAAGATTGCACCACTTTACTCTAGCCTGGGTGATAGAATCACACCTTGTCTCAAAAAATAAATAACAGGCCAGGCATGGTGGTGCATGCCTATAATCCCAGCACTTTGGGAGGCCTAGGTGGGTGGATCACCTGAGATCAGGAGTTCAAGACCAACCTAACATGATGAAATCTTTTCTCTACTAAATACAAAAAATTAGCTGGGTGTGGTAGCCCATGCCTGTAATCCCAGCTACTTGGGAAGCTGAGGCTGGAGAATCGCTTGAACCTGGGAGACAGAGATTGCAGTGAGCCAAGATCACACCATTGCACTCCCGCCTGGGCAACAAGAGCAAAATAAAATATAAAATGAAATAAAGTAAAATAACAAAATAAATAGTAAACATAAAAATAGCCGGGCGCGGTGGCTCAAGCCTGTAATCCCAGCACTTTGGGAGGCCGAGGCGGGTGGATCACGAGGTCAAGAGATCTAGACCATCCTGGTCAACACGGTGAAACCCCGTCTCTACTAAAAATACAAAAAATTAGCTGGGCATGGTGGTGCGTGCCTGTAATCCCAGCGACTCAGGAGGCTGAGGCAGGAGAATTGCCTGAACCCAGGAGGCGGAGGTTGCGGTGAGCCGAGATCGCACCATTGCACTCCAGCCTGGGCAACAAGAGTGAAACTCCATCTCAAAAAAAAAATAATAAATAATAATAATAATTAGCCAAGTGTGGTAACATGCCTATAGTCCTAGTTACTCAGGAGGCTGGGGCAGGAGTATCACTTGAACCCAGAACCTCAAGGCTGCAGTAAGCTATAATCATGGCACTGCACTCCAGCTTGAATGACAGAGCAAGACCCTGTCTCAAAAAAATAGAATGTGGTACAAGTGATGCTGCACAGTTTGCAAGGCAAGGTCATAAAAGGCAACGTAGCTGTTGGGGTCCTCTTTCAGGACACTTGTCCTTACTAAGCCATCATGTTGCAAAGAAATCCAACCTAGCCCACAGAGGAGAAACTGTGACCTTAGTTGACAGCCACCATTCACGATGGAACACCTCCTTCAAAAGATTCCAGCTCCCAGCCTTTAAGTTTCTAGCTGAGGTCCTAGATACTGCAGAACAGACAGGCTGTCCCTGCTGTGCCCACTCATAGTTCCTGGACAACAGAGTCCATGAGCAGAATATGTCAAGATTTGAGATTATGAGTTTTGCAGCTATGGCAGCAAGAACAATATCCTAGAGGTGCTTGCACATACTGACATAAGAAGCCACATAGGGGAATGTTCATGGTAGTGTTTCTCCTAACAGCAATAACAAACTGGCAAAAGGAAAGTGGATAAATATACTGTGGAAGATTCACATGATGAGGCCGAGCACAGTGGCTCACGCCTGTAATCCCAGCACTTTGGGAATCCGAAGCAGGTGGATCATGAAGTCAGGAGTTCAAGATCAGCCTGGACAAAATGGTGAAACCCCATCTCTACTAAAAATACAAAAATTAGCCGGGCACAGTGGTGGGCGCCGGTAATCTCGGCTACTTGGGAGGCTGAGGGAGGAGAATCGCTTGAACACAGGAGGCAGAGGTTGCAGTGAGCCAAGATCAGGCCACTATACTCTAGCCTGGGAGACAGAGCAAAAAAAAAAAAAAAAAAAAAATCCACATGATGGACAACACAGGAGTGAACACAAATAAAGTTGTGCTACTACATGTATCCACTTACGTAAATCTCACAAGTGAAAAAAGTTGCACAATAGTAAAGACAGCATTGATAGCATTTATAAAAGTTTGAAGATCTGCCAAAGAAGTGACACTAATTAAGAATACGTACATACACATGTGACCATACAAAGACAGACAAGGGAATGATATTCACACAATTTAGATCAGTTACTCCCAGCATGACAGAAGTGATCAGCAAAGGGTGCACAGGGTGTCAACCACATCTGTAGTATTTTATTTCTTACGATGGGTGGTAGAGTCATACATATATTTTTATATCTTTTTATATACCTAAAATGTTTTAAATGTAAATGTTTAAAATTAATAAATAAAAGCTGACTGTGTCAATATGCCAAATCTCAGAAACAATGCTGAAAGGAAAAAAACAGGCTGCAGAAGGATATATGCAATGTAATTCATATATAGCTCAAGATCACAAGAAATATTACTAAATATTGTTTACAAACATGTATATGTAGTAAAAGGAAAAAGAACTGCATGAGGATAACAGAGCACATTTAACAACGTGGGTACCTCTAGGGTGGGGAAGAGAGGAATAGAAGACAGTGTTTCACTCTATCTAGAGAAGGCTAGAACGGTATTCGCTCTACTTTTCTGTATGCTTGAAATGTTAGATATGACAAATGCAAAGTCAGTGTATCACTGGCTACATTAATACAATTTCAGCTAAAACAACACATTCCAGCTATCCTTTGCTGCTTCACTGCTACTCAAACATAATTGTGGTGAGTTTTTGAATAATTAGAAACAATGACATCCCAGTAGCAATGAACATACTTAGTACCAAGTCTTTTTTTTCTTTTTTGATATGGAGTCTCACTATTTTACTCAGGATGGAGAGCAGTGGTGTGATCTTGGCTCACTGCAACCTCCACCTCCCAGGTTAAAGTGATTCTCCTGCCTCAGGCACCTCCTACCACACCCCATCAGTAGCTGGGATGACAGGCATGCACCACCACACTCCGATAATTTTTTGTATTTTCTAGTAGAGATGGGGTTTCACCATGTGGGCCAGGCTGGTCTCAAGCTTCTGACCTCAGGTGATACGCCTGCATCAGTCTCCCAAAGTGCTGGGATCACAGGCGTGAACCACCACACTAGGCCTAGTAGCAGATCCTATTGTCTGAATACCATTTTCCATGAAAAGGAACCAGAGCTTAACAGAAAAAATGACTGATCCTAGGACTGGGACTTGGAAAAGTACAGACAAGCCTGGAACATAGTGCTGTGATAGGAAATATGGACATGCTCAAAGAATGACAAAAGCATATCATAAGGACACAGGACCAGCCTGACGTGTCTCCCAATGGCCAAATTTGGGACACCATGAGTGTTTTATAGAAACAGAAAAGATATGGGAGTGACGCCATCATTCTAAGTATCTGACTTCTTGCTGCAAGGCAAGACCCAATTGACTCCATCAGGAAGGTACATATTCACAGCTGCTGCAAAGTTATGTAAAACTACAGGCCGGGCATGGTGGCTCATGCCTATAATCCCAACACTTTGGGAGGCTGAGGCGGGTGAATCACCTGAGGTTGGGAGTTGGAGACCAGCCTGGCCAATGTGGCGAAACCCCTTCTCTACTAACAATACAAAAATTAGCTGGATGCGGTGGTGGGTGCCTATACTTCTCAGCTACTTGGAAGGCTGAGGTGAAAGAATCCCTTGAGCCCAGGAGGTCAAGGCTGCAGTGAGTTGAGCTTATACCACTGCACTCCAGCCTGGGTGTCAGAGTGAGACTCTGTCTCAGATAGAAAAATAAATAAATAAATATATACATACATACATATATACAAACAAAATAAACCTAGAAAATCATAATCACTTGTTATAGTACAATATCTAAATTACTTTTAGCCAACCATGACATTAAGTTACTATTATTTGGCCGGGTGCGGTGGCTCACGCCTATAATCTCAACACTTTGGGAGGCCAAGGAAGGCAGATCATGAGGTCAGGAGTTCGAGACCAGCCTGACCAACATAGTGAAACCCCGCCTCTTCTAAAAATACAAAAAGGTAGCTAGGCATCGTGGTGGGTGCCTGTAATCTCGGCTACTCAGGAGGCTGAGGCAGGAGAATCGCTTGAACACAGGAGGCAGAGGTTGCAGTGAGCCAAGATTGCGCCACTGCACTCCAGCCTGAGCGACAGTGTGAGACTCCATCTCAAAAAAAAACAGTTACTATTATTTGTTACTTACGTCTTGAAACATTTTGTTCTCTTGTTTTAGTCTTGCTTCTTTATCATCTGAGAGTTTGTAAGCATTCTCAAATGCTTCTTCTAAATCCTGCAGTCTAGATTTTAGTCGAAGGATGGTATTGTCCTTTTCTTTACTGCTTGTTCTCATTTCCTCAATTCGTTCCTGCAAAATTTTGGAAGCACCACTGGCTGCACTGAAGCGTTCTCTCAAATCATTCTACAAAATAAAGACAAACATAAATTTTATTTATTTTTTTTTTTGAGACAGTCTCACTCTGCTCCTAGGCTAGAGTACAATGGTGCAATCTCAGCCTGCTGCAACCTCTGCCTCCCAGATTCAAGCAATTCTCCTGCCTCAGCCTCCCGAGTAGTTGGGGTTACAGGCGCCTACCACCACCCTCAGCTTATTTTTGTATTTTGAGTAGAGGCAGGGTTTCACCATGTTGGCCAGGCTAGTCTCAAACTCCTGACCTTAAGTGATCTACCAGCCTTGGCCTCCCAAACTGCTGGGATTACAGGCATGAGCACCGCACTCAGCCCAAAATTGATCTTAAATGAAAAAAATTGATGCCTCAAAACTAGCTAATAAATTGGGGGCATTAAAAAATGAACAAAAAATAGAAACAGAAATGAACAAATCTATTTTGTTGTATTCTGGGATGGAGAGTCCAGAAAGAATCGTTCTACTGGAATACCAGTCCCTGACATTATCATAAGGTATACAGGAAACTACTGTCTGTGGCATTGTGATTCTAGGACTCACCTAAGACAATAGCTCCCACAGATAACTTTAATAAGGAAAAAATAACCACTGCTATTAGGGAAATTATTTTGAAAGCCTAGCTGGACTTTGTTGTCCAACATCAACATTTAGGGAGAAGAAAAACATTTTGTACCCTCTCACTGTGAAAATACAAGAAATTTAAAACCCATCTGGGCCGGGCGCGGTGGCTCAAGCCTATAATCCCAGCACT